CTCGTCTTCTTTCCCACTTTTGCCTTGACTGGATTCTTAGGGAGTTTGAAGGAGCCGGAGACGCCCTGGCCCTTGACCAGAACCAAGGAGCCTTTCGCCAGACACCTCTTGATAGCCATCCTGATCTGTGCATTTTGCTTCTCCTCACTGACCCCGCTTCTCTGCAGCGCCTTCTTTATAGCGGCCAGAGACGTCCCCTTCCGATCGCTGTTCTCGCCGACAATCTTCACAATCCGCTCGCCCAACCCGGGACCGGCTGGTTGTTTCCTGGGAGCCGCCGCCTTCTTCTTCTTGGGAATCTTGGGTTTGGTGATGGCGGAGGCTGGAGGAGCCGTTTCGGCGGCTGCACTGTCGCTCATGTCGAGAACTCTGCGCTGAATCTCTCTCTGTCAGACTGAACTGGGTCAGCAATGAAGCTGCTGGTGGCGGCACTGAGCAACTTAAAGGCAGCGAGCGGACGGCGCGGAGACAACCTGCCCTCAGCTCCCTGCTCCTGCTGCCTCTCTGTGTTTCTCTCTCGGCAGAATCTCTCCAATTCCTCTGCAATTCCGCATCTCCAGATAGCCAGGCTCGATCGTTCCTGACCCTGACACGGGAAGGTTTGTGGCCAAAATGTTTTCATTCGAATTGACGGCTCCGTTGTCGAGTTGAACGCATTTTGCTGCTGCACTGATCGTACTCTCTGAGCTGAGCGCTGACATTATCGTCACTTTTAGACTGAAATCTTAAAATCAACAAATACATTGGCTTGAATTCTAGCTTTGGGGTTTAGTGAGGGAGCAAGGGGATAAGTTGAATTGAAAATCTTTTTGATTTCCACAAGAAATAATCAGAAATATCATGATATGAGCGGACACACAAACACAGTTACGTTAGACTCACCCGCCCGCCCTTTACCTACAGTCTCTCTGACTCAATATTCTCATTCATACAGTCACAGGCCAGAAATATCGCGAAATATAAATGTGGAAGGATATAATTTCTTTTCCTTTCAGCCTTTGCTCCGATATCCAGGGAGTTAGTTGTAGTTTTTTTCTCCTTAGTAACCGTTAAACTCTCTGAGGTCTGTGCGCCGGAGATTCGCTCTTCTCCAGATTCAGCTGCAAGAGCCAATCATCTGGTTTGAAGTTATATTGACCCACATTGGTATTTTTCATTCCGGCGACTATACTCAACATTGGTTCTGGAAATCAACAGACACAGAAACATAGATAATGGCAACTGGACCTAACTAATCGTCCCTTCAAACCTCTCCTCCCACTCATCAAAATGGCAGATCATCCAACTCAAAAGCCTGTGTCCGTTTTTCTCTCATATAGAGTCATACAGCAAGGATACAGACCCTTAAGTCCAATCAGTAGATGCCGAATATAATGCCAAACTGAACTAGTTCCACCTCCCTCTCACTGGCCTATTTCCTTTCAAACCTGTCATATTTATGTACTTATCCAAATATCGTTTTAATGTTGTAATTGTAGCCACATAGACCATTTCGTCAGGAAGTTCATTCCACATGCATCAGGCTTCATGAAAAAAACCCCTCGTGTCTTTTTTTTTAAATCTCTCTCCTGTCACTTTAAAAATGTCCACGCTGCTCTTCAATTACCCGCATCTCAGGCAAAAGACAATTACCATTAACTCTGTCTTACCCCCTCATTATTTTATAAATTTCTATAAGCTGACTTTCAACATCCTACACTCGAGTGAAAAAAAATACTCCCAGCCTATCCATCCTTTCTTTATAACTCGAACCTTACATACTCGGCAACTACTGATGAATCTCTTCTGAACCGTCTCCAGCTCAATACTATCTTTCCTCACCCTTACCCCCATCCCAGGCCCCAAGAAGACTTTCCACATCAAGCAGATATTCACCTGCACATCTGCCAATGTGGTATACTGCATCCGCTGTACCCGTTGTGGCCTCCTCTACATCGGGGAAACCAAGTGGAGGCTCGGGGACCGCTTTGCAGAACACCTACGCTCGGTTCGCAATAAACAACTGCACCTCCCTGTCGCGAACCATTTCAACTCCCCCTCCAATTCCTCAGACGACATGTCCATCCTGGGCCTCCTACAGTGCCACAATGATGCCACCCGAAGGTTGCAGGAACAGCAACTCATATTCCGTTTGGGAACCCTGCAGCCCAATGGTATCAATGTGGATTTCACAAGCTTCAAAATCTCCCCTCCCCCCACCGCATCCCAAAACCAGCCCAGCTCGTCCCCGCCTCCCTGACCTGTTCTTCCTCCCACCTATCCCCTCCTCCCACCTCAAGCCGCAGCCCCATCTCCTACCTACTAACCACATCCCGCCCCCTTGACCTGTCCGTCTTCCCTGGACTGACCTATCCCCTCCCTAAATCCCCACCTACACTCACCTTTACTGGCTCCATCCCCGCCTCTTCGACCTGTCTGTTTCCTCTCCACCTATCTTCTCCTCTATCCATCTTCTATCCGCCTCCCCCTCTCTCCCTATTTATTTCAGAATCCCCTTCCCCTCTCCCATTTCTGATGAAGGGTCTAGGCCCGAAACGTCAGCCTTTTTGCTCCTATGATGCTGCTTGGCCTGCTGTGTTCATCCAGCTCTGCACCTTGCTGTCTCACTATCTTTCCTCTAACTGGCCGACCAGAACTGGTCGCAGTATTTCAGAAGTGGCCCTGTGTAACCTCAATGTGATTGCCACCTCCTAAACTCAAAGGACTGAGCAGCGAAGGAAAGCGTGCCAAACACCTTCTTAACCACCCTGTTTAGATGTGATGCAGACTGAAAAGAATTCTCGGTCCCTCTGTTCCACAACACTACCCAAAGCCCGACCATTAATTGAATAAGGCCTACCCTTGCATGCTGCACCAAAATGTAAAACCTCACATTTATCCAGATTGAACTCCATCTGCCATTTTGCAGCCCATTGCCGATTCGATCACGATCTCTTTGTAATCTCAGAAAACCTTCTTCATTCACTACTAACTTTGCTATCATTCACAAACGTGCTACCATGCCTTCTATATTCTCATTCAAATCATTGCTATATATGAGAAACAATAACGGATCCAGTACCAATCCCTGTGGAAACCACTGGTGACAGGCGTCCAGTCTGAAAAACAGCCGTCCATCTTCACTCTCTGTCTCTTGCCGTTAAGCCAACTATACCTTGATTCCCTTTAGCCACAATTGCTACACCCAATACCATTTTGAAATCACACAGTGTGTTGGATGTAGCTGATTTCTGTGGCAGAGAATTCCACAGGCATACCGTTCTCTGAATGAAGAATACTCTCCCTTCTCCGAAACATATGACTCCTACCGTCAGGAATATTCTTCCTGCATTTACATTGTTTAGGTCTGCCAGTGTCTTACAGGTTTCTAAGAGAATCCCTCATTCTTCTGAATTTAAGCCCATATATTCACAAACACTTCAACCTCTCCTTCCATCCCAGTGATCTGCCCATTGAAACTACCTGTATAGTAACATCATCCTTCCTTAGATAAGGAGGCCACAACTGCTGTCAGTATTCTAGGTGTTGTCTCACAGATGCCCTGTTAAATTGTCGCAATTTATCCTTTCTCCTGTACTCAAATTCACTCTCCATGAAGGCCAACATACCAGTTGCCTTCCTTACTGCCTGCTGCACCTACATGCTTACTTTCAGTGATTGGTTTGTGAGGGCACCCAGGTCTCGTTGCAAATTCCACTGGGTCCAATTATGGATTTCCAGAAAATGACGTGCCTTCCTTTTATTTTGCTACCAAAGTGTATAACCTTACATTTATCCAATTTATACAGTGCCTCAGATGCATTTGCCCACTGACTCGACTTCTTCACAAACAATGCATCCTCTTTCAGAGCTGACCATCCAATCCAATTTTGTCTCATCAATACATCTGGAGATACTACATTTAGTTCCCTCATCTAAACCATTGTGAATATATTGTGAAGAGCTTTGATCCTAAAACTGATTCTTGCCATGACCCCTCGTCACTGCTTGCCATTGAGAAAAAGATCCATTCATTTCTTTTGTGTTTCCTCTTATCCAACTAGTTTTTTTTTTAGAAAGTCATCCTCAATGCACTGCACCAATCCCATTTCCTTGATTTTAACATGCTCATATCTTATGTGGGATGTTGGATAAAAAAGCTATTGTAAATTAGAATTAACACCTCTGCTTTATCATCTTTACTTGAGTAGAGTTGTCAGGCTGGGAACATAGAACAATACAGCAGAGGAACAGGCCTTTCAAATCCATGCTGACTCTGTCTGATCCTGACATTTTATCCCAAATTATCTGCAATAAAATATTTTTTTCCTGCAGGTTGACTGGTGTAAAATTCCAAGTTTTATCTCTACTTCCCTTTTCAAATAGATTGCTAACATTAGCTACCCTCCAATCTTTGGAAATTATTGTAGAGCCTATAGAGGTTTGGAACATGACCAGCAATACATCCACTATTTCAAAGGCTACTGTGTTAAGAGCTCTGGAACTTAAATTATCAGTCCCTGGTGTTTCCCAGCCATTAATCCTATCAAATTTTTCAACACAATTTACTGACTAATACTGATTTGATTCAGTTTCTCCCTCTCACTGAACTCTGTTTGCCCAGCATTCCTGGTGTGTTATATGTGTCCTCCTTTGTGAACATAGAACAAAAGTAAGTATTCAGTTGGATAGACATTTTTTATTCCCCGTAATGGACTCCCCTCTTTTTGATTGTAAGTGACGTGTTTACCAAAGTAGTTTTATTTCCATTCTCATTTTACATATTTATCAATACATTAACGGTTAGCTTTTTTTAATGGCTTCTGCAAACATAACCTTTTCTTCATTTGCTCTTTTATCATCAATACTTTTTTTTTTCTTCTTTCCTGATTTTGAAATGTTCCCCAGCTTCAGGGACTTCTTTTTTCTCTTTCAATATCTTTTTCTTCTCAATTTGAACGCATCTTCTGTGGATCAAAAACTAAGTTGAATAGCCCTCTTAAACTACAAATTTGTGAACTGTAAAAAGAGCACCTCCCATACTCACGAATACATCCACTTAAAAGGATTTGGGCAGCAGATGTGGAGGAACACAATTTCGATACAGGGCAAGTTCCCCTCCAAGCCACCCACCATCCGAACTTGGAAATATATCCCCTTTCCTTCATTATCCTTGGATCAAGACACTGAAATTGTCTGCTAATGGCATTGTGGGCAGCAGATGGACTACAACTATTCGAGAAGACGGCTCGGCACCACCTTCTCAAAGGAGTAATTAGGGACGGGCAATAACTGCTGGGCCCAGCCAGCGATATCCATCTCCCAGGAGTAAGTAACAAAAATATCTGGAGTCGTTCTTTGCGGTACCTTGTTCATCACAAGGTTTCTGTCAGCAGCATATTGAGAATAAAATCAGTCA